CTCTAGATTAAGAATTCCTTTTTCTAGACCTTTTCCTTGTAAGAACAGTGCTGATAAATGGTTCTTCTCTTACTTGCTTAGTCCTTGCCTCACTTTGCTGTGCACATGCGTGCTGTTAAGTCACAGAAACGTTACGAGTTTTGATGAACAGCAGTGCATTCCAGTAATAATCTGTATGGTGTGTCATTGGTTCCAATATCTTATCAAAGCAACATCTGTAAAACACTGAATACTAATTCAAGGACAGGGCAGTGGCATACACTTAGCTTGGTCTGCCTGCAAGTGCCATCACTGGGTTGTTGCATTTGCTGTTAAATTCGGCATTTGGTGGAAGTGGTACAGCCATTTTCCTGAATAAGAGCGGTGCAGAAATGTGTTCAGTTGTTAAAGTGTAAAAGAGGATTCCTTCAGTTAGTAACATCTGTTTCTAATGGGGAAAATGGAGTTGTCTGGAATTGTTGATACAGAGGGAGTGACGCTTCGCCCTGGGAGCTTCAGGGAGGGGGTTCCCACAGCAGAGGTGAGGACATGCTATGAATCAAGCATGACACGGAGAACAGGCTCTTCTGGACCCGCTGTTGTTCAGTGGAGTTAGGTGATTCACACAACTCTGATAGCGTCAGCTACCAAAAAAAAAAATTAACTGCTTTGTATTTGAATACCTCTATATCCAGTTTGGAATACCCTGTGGAGAATTTTAGTTTTCCCATAACTTCCTTGTTTCTCTCTATGCAAGACACTGGGAGATGTTATAAATTTTTAAAATATTTTTATTTATATGCCTCAGTACTTGACTCTGGCATTTCTCCGTTGACTTTTTGTAGTTTGTTTTGTGAGAAACCACAAATATTGGTATTTTACTGACATATTCTTGGTGTTTCTCTGTCTGATTTAAGTCTGAAAATGTGACTTCAGAATGCTAATGTTGTTGAGACCATTTCCAGCACTTGGAAACCTACTTAAGTATTTACTACTTTCTGTGGTTCCTTACTAGGTTTTTAAATACTTTGTTTAAAAGTATCAGAGGTACATAATCTCAGATGGAAAGAAAGAAGCCTCATTTGATAAATCAGGAGGGCTATTCTGCTTGTAGAGATGGTTGTTAAGGCCACTCTAAAGTGCTTATTTTAAAATGTTGTTTAATGTCCTTATATGGAAACACTCTGTGCATTTTTGTAGCGTTTTTCTTTGTGCTAGTTCCTGTTAAGAAGCTCCCAGTCTGCCTGTTCCTAACAGTTTACTTCTTGCATCCTGACAGGAACAAAGGAAATGACCCATTTTCCTTCCCCTCTCTTTCTCTCTCACTGGAGTACTGTTCTTAGCAGAAGACGGTAGGATGGCATGTTCCAGGCCTCTCTGTTTGTAGAGGAGGCACCGTCACTGAATTTAGCAGTCATCTGCTGCGTTCAGTTGCTGGACAGCACATTGTTTAGGATAGGAGTTTGTTGGGATCCAAAATAACTGTTACGTTATCCACTGTTCAAAAACTGATTTTGACATTTTTTTTTATACTGTAGCATAATGTCCCTTTTTTCTTCTAGACCTGCTAAATGGGGCCCACGGTTATTTACAAATAAAGTTTCACTGATTTTTACAAGTTAATGCAATTGTATCTTACCTATTCCTTTCTCTTTGAAATATTTTGCATGTGCTGCTTTGCTTACCTCATAATGATTGAAATAGTCCTTTGAAAATCTGAAAAAACACAACAGCTATGGCTTGCTGTTTTGCCTTTGTTTTTTTTTTAACTTATTATGGAAAATTGATAAAAAATGAAGCATTACAATTTCTAGATGTGGGACTATCCAGGGTGTTGTCAGACATTCAGCTTGACCTTGTTCTAATGTTTGACTTGATTGTGTGCAGGCAGACTTCAGGATTTCAGCAGTCGTTGATGTGCAGTGTAGTCTGGTCCGTTGACAAGTTATCACCTGTAAGCAGTGCTGTAAGCACTGCAGTTATGTGGTCCTGTAAGGAGGTGTAGCACGGTATTTTGCTAATTTTGAGGTTTGATCTGTAATAATATGGTAAAGCTTCAGGAAGACGGCTCACGGTCATAGAATCACAGAATCACAGAATGGTAGGGGTTGGAAGGGACCTCTGTGGGTCATCTAGTCCAAACCCCTGCCGAAGCAGGGTCACCCAGAGCAGGCTGAACAGGACCTTGTCCAGGCGGGTCTTGAATATCTCCAGCGAAGGAGACTCCACAACCTCCCTGGGCAGCCTGTTCCAGTGCTCCGTCACCCTCAGAGGGAAGAAGTTCTTCCTCATGTTCAGACGGAACTTCCTGTGCCTCAGTTTATGCCCATTGCCCCTTGTCCTGTCGCTGGGCACCACTGAAAAGAGTCTGGCCCCACCCTCCTGACACCCACCCTTAAGATATTTGTAAGCATTTATTAGGTCCCCTCTCAGCCTTCTCTTCTTCAGCCTAAACAAGCCCAGCTCCCTCAGCCTCTCCTCGTAGGAGAGATGTTCTAGTCCCCTCACCATCCTTGTATCCCTCCGCTGGACTCTCTCCACTAGCTCCTCATCTTTCTTGAAGTGGGGAGCCCAGAACTGGACAGAGTACTCCAGATGAGGCCTCACTAAGGCAGGGTAGAGGGGAAGGAGAACCTCCCTCGTCCTGCTGGCCACACTCTTCCTAATGCACCCCAGGATGCCATTTGCCTTCTTGGCAGCCAGAGCACACTGCTGGCTCATGGTTAACCTGTCGTCCACTAGGACACCCAGGTCCCTCTCCACAGAGCTGCTCTCCAGCAGGTCCGTCGCTGTCATCTGGGGAAGTTGGTTGGTTGAATATTTTCCTAGGAAACCTCATGAGGGCAGTATTATGAATTGCAAAATGTGCTAAGGCTGAATAACTGAGGGTTCGTTTGAACCTCGGTGCCTTATTTAGGTGCTGTTGCACAGCAGTTTTATCTTTTTTCTTTTTTTTTTTTTTCAGCTAACTTTTAGTTAGAATATTTCTGTTCTAACAAAATAGAGTAGGAAATAACTACCTGGATGCTTGTTGTACGCAGACATTTAAGCGTGCGCTGCAGTCGTGATGTGATCAAAGCAGCTATCCTGCAGCTTTGGCTACAGCAACTTTTTAGTCAAAGTAAAACACAAGGTGGATGTGGTTTGCCCAGTAGGAAACAGGCTGTGTTAAGTGATATTTGTGGAACGATTATTGTAAATTTAGCTTTTTATGAGATGACGGACTAATTTTGAAGCCAGATGTGTCATAATCACTTGACAACAGTTTTTACTCTTCTGCTTTTTAGTCAAGTAGTTGGTGTAATGCTACAGTGGAAGTGACTATACTGTCAGCTTTAAAGCAGAAGTAATTAGAGAATTTGACGTACATATTTAAATCTGAATTGTTCCCCCTTCTCACCTTTAACTGTAGGCAGCTGCTCTGGGTGTGAGAAATGGGCCAGAAGGTCTGTCTACATTAGCACTTAGACGGTGACTATTTATGAACTTTTCTAAACTCTTGAATTATGTTACTGATTTTATAGACAAGGTGACATCAGAGGTTTTGCAACACAGAAGCAAGATGTGGACAGAGCAATGGGTTACATCTGTCCGTGAGGCTGTGATGGTCTTTAAGGGTCTGTTACACTTGTTGGCTGGAGGATGGAATGAGCCCTTGCATATTGGTCAAACAAAAAGAAGCTCTGTTTTTTTGAAATCATTCTTAAGGGATGTTTCCTAGGCTGCTTTGAGGAATACTGTATTAGAGACTGTCAGAAGATTATTAGGATCAAGACCTCCCTGTTTTACAGGCAATGGATGTATTAGGCTTTCATTAACAAGCGAATTAACTGGATATAGGGGGGAAAAGTAGCTGGAGGAGGGGAAAAATAAACACTGTTCCTTGCTTACAGAGTGGCTGGTGTCTGCACAGCTGCCAGGATTTGAAATGCCTGCTTCAGGGCAAATGAAATGCCATGTGAGCTGAAGGCATGTTTTCTTTAAAACTCCAAGCTGCAATTATGCTAACTTCAACTTTTCCTTTAGTCCAGAGCTTGGTGTATCTCTGCTAGGATTTGACTGTCAAACTGCTGGTGTCAGAAACTGGGCTGTATCCTGCTAGAACAACTCCTGCTGCCCGACAGGAAAGCCTTTCTGCCTGAACACGCAGGTGCCTGCATAGGTCACTTCCCCGCTTTCCCAGGCCAAGAGCTGCCTTGTCAACAAACCAAGCTGTGAAGTGCTCCTGCCACTGCTGCATTTCCTGTCAGTGCTCTGTGGCCGCTCTGAATAAAAGGGCCTCGCTATTGCCGTGATGGTTAATCTATAGCACAACTAACATCCTTGAGCAGAAAGATAAGGGCTTGCCAAAATCCAGCTGCCATGGGTGTCTGAAACTAAAGAACAAATCTTTTTGATAGTTCTTCAGGTCAGGGTGAATTTTCATGTCCAGTGTGGTTAGCCAAGTGCCAAGGTTCTGCAGTGTTCGGTATAGTGTTCACATGCAGCAATAGTACTTTGAAGTGACTGAAAATAATGTTATAACTGTTACCTGGAGATCCCATAGGTGTCCTGTTCTCGGGAGAATTTTTGTAAGTGGTCATAATTTTCAAATACAATTTTTTGGGCAGTGGTTAGATTACATTCACCTGTTCGTAAACTGTCTTTAAGATGGTTTATAAACATATAATTGATAAGTTGAAAGGGTAAAAATGGAAGGAAGGAGGACCTCCTTATGCTATTCTGTATAGGGGCTGGGAACAAAGAATATGAATTTCAGGTTTTGTTAGCTAATTACAGAATCAGAGAACTTAAAAGAAAAATTACATCAGGAGTACCATGCATAGTCAGCATTAGCTTTAAGTAGATATTTTTCCTTCTTTAAATCCAGGATGGATGAAAGATCTTTAAGGATACTGAATATTAGTGTTTTGAGTTTTAAAGGAATCTTTCTTATTTTAAAACTTTTTACTATTTACATGGAGTACTCTGTTTTTGATAATCATGTGTAGTTTCTTTCCTGTGAATAGCTTCACAGAAGCAGCCATTTTTATTATGGCTTTTTTATTTTGGTTATCTTTGAGTATGTGACATTTCATTCTACTAGAATAAAATGTGATTATTGTATACAATTGATCAGTTCAAAATCACAATGAATGGAATCCTGAAGTCAGCTAACATGCACTGTGGATTTTATTTTCCAGTGTCTGAAACGTGGAGTGACGAAACATGTCTCAGTCAGGTGAAAAAGTAAAGGTAAAGAGATGGCTGCATAGCCAAAATTTTGTTTAGAATCTGTTCAACTTCTGAAAATACTTGCATTTTTACTGAAGTGGTAAAATAGTGAATAAATGATATCTTACTGCTTCAGATGCGTTTCTGAAAAGGAACTGTTTAGTAAAAAGAGAGCTTGCGTGCGATTCTAATAGAATAATAGGCTTTCGGATGTTTGCCAGACGTTCAGTGTTTGTTCACACATTTAGAATGGTGCCTTTACCTAGGGACATTTCACTTGACAAACCTTCATTTCTGCTGTTTTTGCCCATGTGGGTGGGTTTTAAAAGGGTTGTTAGCAAATAACTAGTTGCCTTTTAAGTGATTTCCCCTGTATCCCCCCTGCCCCACTGGAAGTACGGCATTGTATAAAAACTGTTCTTATTGTAAACTCATCTGTGAAGAAAACACTTGGTTCAGCTAGCTCATAGGTCCCTAAATCGAGTCGCTGCAGTTCTTGTTTAGGTTTTCAGTCAACTGATAACAGATGGTGAAACAGACTGCCCTTTTTATAGCCCAGATATCTTTGATAAGTTTTTCAGGCACATTTCTTTTTCCTGCTTTTGTGTTAGAAGTTAAACATTGTGAAGATAGGTGAACAGCTTAAGAAGCAGAAGATAGATCTCTGTGTGATTGTATCGTGGTAATCTCTGCATTACTATACAATGTTCCTATTTTTCTACATGGGAGCATATGCATTATTTATTTTTATGGAAGATAGTAGCAGCAGATACCAAATTTGAACAGATATTTTTGACCTCTGTCTTAAAATATCTGGTATTTTTAACTATGTTTACAGTTTAATAATGGTGTGTTCTTGCAAGCTTGCAGATTTTTTTTATTATCAAAGGAGAGGCTTTTGTTTAAGGGTAGCTCAAGGTACTTATCAGATTTCTATTTATATCAGACTGCTTGGTAAATGGGCCTGTTTCAAGGTCTGCCTTGCTATAGCAGTAAAAAATTGCTTCATTCTCTATTTTTCCATGTGCTTTATGTACCTCTGCACTTTATTGTATAGACTCAACTGAACTCTGTTTCAACTTTGTAGGGGGAAGGGGATCTCATTTATACTCAACTTTTGTTTTCTTGTCAGTTTTCTGACTCGGCAGGCTATGTGGGATTTGCTAATCTGCCCAACCAGGTTCACAGGAAATCTGTGAAGAAGGGCTTTGAATTCACACTGATGGTGGTTGGTAAGTGACTTATAGAAGTATTTTTGACTGTTCAACATCAACAAAAAAATCTTTCACACAGACGTATAAGTCTTCCTACTTAGCAACTGACTGTTACACAGAAGAAAAAGCTTTGAAACTCTATACACTGTCTAGTTAAATCTCTTCCTATTTTGTCTTGTTTGGTAGAAGGGAGTATTTGTAGTGATTAAAGATGATGACTTTGAGCTAACAGGACATTCATCATAATCAGATGGTAGGATAGTTGCTTAATCTCTCTTTGACTCCCATTTCCCCAACCAAAGGCGTGAATGCACATGGTGAATATCTTGCTGTTGAAATCGTGATGCTATTCTTGTGTTTTCTGCTGTTCTGTATTGACTCACTCTGGTATTATAACTAAACTTTTAATTTGCCTGTTCTGTGAATGACCACCTGTATGAGTCTTTGATGGAACGTCTGTTAGGCAAAAGCTGTTTAAAGTGAAGTGTTGAGTTATACTTGCATTGAATCAGTTTAATGTTATACAAACGTAAAGAGAGTCCACAGTACTATCACCTTTTTGTAGTAGTTAACCTTGGAACTACATGTTACTGAAAAATGAAAATGAGAAGAGATGTGTAAGACTTCCTTCTTACTCTCTGTGCTCTGTGGTACTGTTTGGGATTATTTGGTGACAGAGCGTTCAACAAGGTCTGTAAAATAAATAGGTAATTTGTGAGAAGTGTAGAGTTTTTTATTTCATGTAGTTTGTGGTGATAAATACAGATAACTTCTCCTTCTCTAAGATCAGGTTAGCAGCATCTAAAATAGGACGGCCACTTGTTCTAAATGCTGACTCCTTTGATTCCTTGGGTTAGGAGAAAAGTGACTTTTTGAAATTCGGATTTAGCAATTGCATTTACAGGTTTAACTTTAATACTTTGATGTAGGACAAAACTCGTATGACCTGAAGTTTTAGAATTGCGGAGCTTCTCAGGTGAATCTTGAATAATTTTCTTGTAATTTTCTGTTTCATGTTTCATAGGATGTATGTAGCTTAACTATAAGGGTGCAAAGCTCAGCTGTTAGTTTGGGATTGCTTTATTTGTTCTCCCTCCTAACAGTATTCCAGGTTCAATTTCTAGTTTAGGAAAACCTTAAAGCCCTCAGAATTTTTCAACAAGAGTTGCAGCTCCTGATCTTTGTAAGTTTAAATGCAAAAAAGCTTTTATTTTCCTGAGGTAACCTAACTATCTCTAGATCTGTAGTCAGTGCTATATGATCTTTCAGCTTTTGTTATGAAATCTGTTACAGTAAACATAGCATTTTCATTGAACATTTATAAAAACACTAGAGGCTTGTTTTTCCTGTGTTTTTGAAGTGCTTAGTTGAACCTTTGATGTTATTATCTCAAAAACTAGGGTGGATCCTGGTGAACAAATTATTTTTCCTCCATAATATGGGCTTGGGGAAAAAGGAGGTGCTTTAAAGAGCCTGGAGTAAAAGGTATATATGCTCAATAACCTGAATTGTTTTGTTTGTAGGTGAGTCTGGCTTGGGAAAATCCACTTTAATTAACAGTCTGTTCCTGACTGATCTTTATCCAGAACGTTATATTCCTGGAGCTGCAGGTAAATGTGGTTTTGCAGTTCCTCCAGCACATATCCTGTGAAATTTCATGTTCTTTCAGTTAATGTTGCTTCCTTCTGATAAGTTCACCCATGTGTCCCTTTCTTCGTGCTGTCTGATGTATTTTAATCCTACAAATTATATTTTTTGAGCTGTCATTTGCTCACATGTCCTTTTAAAGACTCAGCTTTTGTTGTTTCTTCATCAATTGTTATCAAAAACACCAACCCCCTAGACCTTTTGTGTGTTGGTATACCTAAATGTGGTTTTGCTCTAATCCCCATTTCCTCTAATGCTTTTTGCCTGTAATGCCTTAAGTTCTGGTTAGAGGTGTAAATACCTTTTGACAAAAATCTAGCATGCTTCTGAGTATTATAATTTTATTTTTGCATGTAGTCATGAGTGAATCCCCTTTTCTTTTAGTTCACTGCTTCTTATTTGTTTACAAAAACGTGGTGTTAAGTTTTGACTACCTAGATCAGTTTTTCTTTAGTGTATTTTGTGTCATGTAGGTTACAATACACTTCAGACTGCATTTCCTCCTCTCTCCTGCACAGGTTTCTGCAGCAATTAATAAGCATAATAACAATCAAAATGTTCCTTTGTTTTAGAGAAAATAGAGAGAACAGTTCAAATTGAAGCTTCTACAGTGGAGATAGAGGAGCGAGGGGTGAAACTGCGTTTAACAGTAGTTGACACACCAGGATATGGAGATGCCATTAACAGCCAGGACTGGTATGTGTGTAAATACTACTTTGCTTGATAGAGTTTGTGTCTTATGCAAACACTGCTCTAGTGTGTCTGTCTCTCTGAACTTAAGTGATTAAGCTGGTGATCTTTGGATAACTTTGATGTACTGAAAGGAAGCAGCAGGTTCATTAGTGTTAACATTAATGGAGAGGTATCTTGAATTCATGGTAGAGGTAGACTTTTCCGAGTCCTTGCAGTTAAGCACAATTTTCTAACCAGTTCTGCATTCTTGGTGCTCGTCTTCATATCATCAGTGACATGATCATTTAGTTCGTGTGAGTTTCAAATCAAGTTTCTCTTGTAGTTTTTGTTGCCTATAGTATACATCTCTAGTAAAACTGCATTGCTTTGTACAACTTCCTGTTTCAATCTTCCAACTACTTTTTTATGTTTCTAAAACGTTTGGTTAGTGTTCTCTCGGCTCTCTGTGATTCTCCCTCAAACGTAATGGCCTTTCCTCCAGTAAGGTTCCCTGTGACAACTGCAGTCAACTTTTTGTCTCCATAGCTGCTCTGATAAGGCAGAATTCTGGCAGAGGGAAATTTTTTGTTTGTCTTTTACTTTCTGTGTCTCTGGCCCATCCAGTTTCCATTTTTTTAAGACAGTACTTTTCATTCCCTGTCCTTTATATGTACTACCAGCAATTTGGATAGAACCACTTTTTTTTTTTTATGATGGAGTTACTACTTAGCTCTCCCTGCCCTAAATATCTCTGATAATCTTTAATGGCTGGAATAATTGTCTGCAGATATGCTGGACAACATACATAATTGCTTTAGCATAAAAATCATGAAAGAAAATGGTAAAATAGCTGTGAATGAACCGGGCAGTTTGTAACAGAATAGGAATTAGTAAGTTTGTTAATAAATGTAATTTCCAGATCATCATCATCATCATCATGCACTTTAACTGTGGATAACAGATCTTATGATAACTTTTTTCAAATAAAGATGAGATATATTAATGTGCTTACTAGGATGCCTGAACTATTCTAGTGCAACTAGAAGCTAAACTTTGAATTTCTACATAGTTGTCTTTTAAGAAGACAATAACAATATTTATTTTGCTTAGTTATTAGCTTTTGTTGTAGTGGTGGTGGTAATCCTAAAGCAAGCAAAGTGTCACTGTGCAGAAAAAGGGAGCATAAAGCTCATACTGATTGATTTGAGTTCTTCAGTATAAGTTAAAGATCAGGAAGGAGGCAAACAGCTGATAAAATAGACCTCTATAATGCTAATAGAATGTTTTGTAATATTTTCTTGACAGAATGCTGCATTATCTGGAGCATTCTGAAGAACATTGTTATCAGACATGGTTTTTCTTCTCTTTCTATGGTGTACTGTAGAAACACAGCAAAAATAAAGGCAGCGAAGTTATATAATATGCTAAATGGAAGTCTGAAAGTGAAGCTGTAGTGGGATTTTAATTTTCCTCCCACTTTTCCTACTTTATTATGTTAAAAATAATTGAACTTTTAAAATGACGCTAAGGCATCTTTCTGGACTGCAGCACGGTCTTGCTTATTTTGTGCGCTGTTGACTAGAGCTTCCTTCCGCTGGAGCCAGGAGCTCTGCAGCCCGCGTATTGTGTTACATAGAGCTCTTCCTGTTGATTGTGTTCTAATGCCCTTTGTTTATTCTGTTAAGATGTTTCTTAGAGACCTGCGTGTTCAGATTTTCCCCCTTTCTTTTTCAAGGCTTGCTAAATAGAGTCATTCCATGATGATTCACACCCAGTAGAACAATTTACTGGTTTATACTTAGTTTTCTGTGACAAATCTTAAACAACAAAATACATTATGGGAACAAATAATACTTGCATACTACAAAATAAAAAGATGCAGTTAGTTTTAATTGTCTCTCTCTAGTCCTATCTTCTTATGTCACATAAAAAGACTGAGTTTGAGTCATGGTGAGTGTCATTTAGACAAAGTCCGTAAGTCTCTACAGGATGTCATAGGGACTTGGATGGACGGACTCTTTGTTTCAAACTGTAGTCAAGATCAACCCAGTGCAACTATCTTCCTTCCTTGTTAGTTCAGAGGAAGCAGCAAGTTTGTGTTCTTGAACTTATGTGTGTGTTCAGGAGCACTTACTGCAATTATGGTTAACCAGTAGATGGTGCTGATCTCAATCCAAGTTTTATAAAACACTTTTTTTGGGAAAAGCTGCAATTGGTGCAAACTACCTGTTTTTCAGGGTGATAGGTTTTACTAAGGTAATTTTGAACAGAGGTAAATCAAACTGGCATAATGTCTCTAGGAGGCAGCAATCGCTGATCCTGTTTCAAGTATCTTCCTCCTGAGTAGGCTTCCTAATGGCTTTTTGTTTCTGTCTTTGCACTGATGAAAGGGCTTAATTTCAGGGTTTGACTTTCAAGAATGGAAGCTGGGGTCAATTTTTAGGTATTTTCTGTCACAGAAGAAGTGCTAGTAAAGATTATGTGTTGTCAGGAGTTTGACCAGTGGATTTTCTGAATTGGAAGAATAACAACGTTGGACTGGGAAATGAGTTATTGGAGAATGTGTTGTACTAAATCTATGAAATAGATTACTTTTTGTTTTCCAAATACCATTGTACTTAAAACAGCCTACAAGAAAATGTGGATTCTATCCACAGTTAACCATAGTGATAATTTTTAGATTGTGTGAAGCTTTAGTGCTAGCTGGAGTTCTGTATTCTGGCATCAAACTACACCTAGGAATGCTCTTGGCATCGGCTTAGGCGGGTGTTTGGAGAACAGCAAAATTCTTTATGGTGGAAGGTTTGAAGCATAAAATGGCTCTTCCATGCATAAGGACATTGGGATCGTGAGAAAAGCAGGCCCTTAAAGTAACATCTTTTGTCAGACAGAAGAGAAAGGATCTAAGGAGGAGAGGGAAAAAAAATTGCTTCGTTCACAGATTTTGAATCACATCTGGCATCAAAAGGATTGTTGATAAAAACAGTCAACAAATAAACTTGTTAGATATTGCTGATCATACGCCTTGTTTCATCTTGCTTACAGCATTGCAGGTCATTCTTCAATAACTGCTTTCTGGTTGCTGCTAACTTTCTTTTTTTACTGGCTCGTGTTAAATTGTGTTTTGTGGTTTTTGGCAGCTTGGTAATATTGTTCATTTTCCCCCAATAGGCTTAGATGCAACGGTTGCGTTGTTTGCTGTTACAATACAGGATGTACTATCTCCTAAGTAATGATAGCACAGTGGTATGAGCCAGGTGTTTCCCGGAAGTCAGGAGGTACAGGACACTAATGCCATATTTATAGGAAAAATGATGGCTGTTAGAGCTAGGAAACTGCACGTAAACTAATTACATTGCCAGGGAAATGTGTGACAGTTGCTTTCCCATTGTTTGTGCTTGGTTTCTGTCCTAATATTTTTCGTCTTCAGTCTCGTTACCTTTCACCAGCTATGAGGAGAGTATCTGTGATCAACAGGAAAATGAAACGTGTCTTTTTGCAACACATTCAGGTATTAAGATGCTAGTTCTTAAAGACTTGAGGAGCACTAAGGTTAGAACCCAATGAATTCCATGTTTTGCTACATCTTCTGTATTACTGCTTAGAACAGTGCAAATCTTACAAAGATACAAACATGTATGTATAGAAGTTCTGCTGCAGATTTATTCCTCCTAGATCCCAATGGTTACTCAACTTTGGAAAATCAAATTACCTTCAGGATCTCTTCCATCATGCTTGTTACTTTCTTTCGTTATCTTCATTACAGCCAAGTGGTCCAGGATTGAATTTTGTTGCCTGTCTCAGTATTTGCCAGCATTCTATGTGTTCATTTCCCAGATTACTAATTCCTTTTTGTGTTCTTTTGTCTGTTCCCTCCTTAAATTTCTCTAGTCAAATTTGCACTTTCTCAGCAACAGAAATACGATTTTTCAAGTTAAGCTTTCTGCTCATTTTTTCCCCAAGTAGTTTAGATATATTCATGACACACAATCATCTGTCTAATCTTATCTTCATCAACATGTTCATTTCCCTTCCTCTGCAGTACTTAATATAAAGTGTCCTTTTACATTAATGTTGTTTGCAGGTGTCTACATGCTCTGGAATATCTTAAAACAATCTTCTTAGTAATGCATTGTGTTTTCTTTTCTCTCTCTAGTCACTGCTCTTTGTGTCTGATTAATCTATATGATCCAATTTTGTGTTCATTTACTTGTTTGCAGGGCATATTTTAAATTGCCTTGAACTAAGTAGGAATTATTTTTGTTTGCCAACAGAAAAGGATGCTGTAAGGTAACAAAAATAGCTTAATAAATCATGTGATGCTTTAGTGCATGACTTGCAAATGTACTTTTACTTAATTCAAACAGACTAGAATACCAGAATTTGCATAAGTAACTGTAGAAACCTAGCTCTAGGGTCAGGGTTGTAAATCGAGAGGATATCCCGGATATGTCATTTGTCAGATGGTTTAAAAACAAATCCTCACCCCTTACCCCCAGAAAAAAAAGTAGAAAAATCCTCAGTCTTCTGTTCCTGTCTGTGTTGTTTCAGCGTTAAGTGCTTTTTATTGAGCTTGCACTTGAACTTTTTATCCAGTGGACAGAATAACACTTGAAAGTAGCTCTAGGCATAAATAGGCGCTTGGTGGTTGCTATGAAAACATCTTTTTGCATTATCAAAATACTTTTCCTCAGCAGTAAGTACAATGCTAGGAAGTTGAATTTTTGTAACAGAAATATTTTTCATAAAAATGCGATTCTCCCGCTTCTGTTCTTATCTTTTCACAATTCTTTTTTTGTTATTTTAAAGCTGATCTAAGATGCCTCTCTTTTTTTTTTTTCTTTCCCCTCCCTCACACTACAGCTTCAAAACAATTATCCAATACATTGATAACCAGTTTGAAAGATACCTTCATGATGAGAGTGGTCTAAACAGGCGCCACATTATAGACAACAGAGTCCATTGCTGTTTTTACTTCATCTCTCCCTTTGGGCATGGGTAAGAAAAAGCTTTTGAGCTCTTGTATTTTAGGGCGTTGTATTGTGTTCATTACTTGAACTGGAAACTTAACTTCAATATTAATTGAGTTACTTCCTACACTGTCAGTTAGCCAGTGCAATTAAAATGGTCTCTGGGGATTAATGCTGTCCTCTGCTTTGTCCTCTTTTTGGCATTTAATATTGTTTTGAAGCAGTCAATATTACATTGTTTATCACCCAGAAAAGTAAGAGCTTATAATATCCAGTTTATCTCATATTGACAATTGTAGCTGCAATTCAGTCTTTACACAATCAAGCTGGTAAGCAAGTGTTCTGACTTAATTTATGCTGGGAATACTATTTATGTAGATACTTGAAATAAAGAAGTTTTAATACATTTGGTCTGTTGAAAAAAACAAGAAACCCCCCCCTTTTTTATATTTTTTTTTTTTTCCTCTTGTTGGCAGGCTGAAACCATTAGATGTAGAATTCATGAAGGCTCTTCATGGAAAAGTCAACATTGTCCCTGTGATTGCCAAGGCTGACACACTGACACTGAAGGAGAGAGAAAGGCTGAAGAGAAGAGTAGGTCTCACACTTGATCATGAGAACAGTGCAACCCATGTAATGTTAAAGCCAAACATAAAAAATATTTGGAATAGGCTGCCCAGGGAGGTGGTTGAGTCACCATCCCTGGAGCTGTTTAAAAAATGTGTAGATGTGGCACTTCAGTATATGATTTAGTAGGACTGGTGGTGTTGGGTGGATGGCTGGACTTGGTGATCTTAGAGGTCTTTTCCAACCTATGATTCTATGATAAAGTAAATTCAAACTGAAGAGGGGTGAGTATTTGCCAAGGACCTGATCTTCAGGAAGTGTGAGGCGGGAAATCTTCCCTGAAGGCCATCAAAAGGGACTTCAGGGCACTGGGGCGACTGGTTGAGGGATCAGGGGCGCAGGTGGTGTTTTCCTCCATCCCATCAGTGGCAGGGAACAGCACTGAAAGGGGCAGGAACACTCACCTGATTAACAGGTGGCTCAGGGACTGGTGCCATCGGTCAAATTTTGGCTTCTTTGATCATGGGGAGGTGTACACAGCACCGGGCCTGCTGGAGACAGACGGAGTCCAGCTGTCTCAAAGAAGAAAAAGGATTCTTGGCCACGAGCTGGCGGGGCTCATTGAGAGGGCTTTAAACTAGGTTCGAAGGGGGAAGGGGACATCGC